CCCCCCCCCCATACACACACCAAAAGAAATGTACTCATTATCTTGCTCATGTAATTGTAACCCCTCTGTACGGTATTTTCAATAAAAAATAATAAAAAAAATTAAAAAAAAAACATTGAAGAAGCTGGGTGCCAGTGGTTCATGCTTTGTAATCCTAACTACTCAGGAAGCTGAAATCTGAGGATTGTGGTTCAAAGCCAGCTGAGTAGGAAAGTCTCTGAGATTCTTACCTCCAGTTAATCACTGGGGAAAGAAAACTGTTAGTGGAGCTGTGGCTCAAGTGGTAAAGTGTTAGCCTTGAGCAAAAGAGTTCAGACCCAGAGTTCAAGCTCCAGGACCAGCAAAAGAAAGAGGGGGGGGGAGAAAGAAAGGGGGGGGGAGAGAGGAAGGAAGGAAAGAAAGAAAGAAGGAAAAATGTTAAAGTAGATATCCTACAGACTTGTACTTAGACTTAGTATTTTTTCTAGGTATTTATTTCACCTTGGCTGGACAATTGCTCTGTTCGGGGATGATGGCATTTAGAATGTTGAGCCCAGTGAGGACTTGAGACTGGAGATGATGCATTTGGACTTTTCTGTACTTTGGTCTTTTGAGATCCTGAGAAGCAAGTAGGAGTAAGAGTGTTCATTTCTAGGGAATTGTGAATACACAGCAGAAGGAACTTGTAGGCTGAGAAAAACATACTCATTTCTCATGTTGCATAGTATAGTAACTGGACAAAGACAACAAACTCTTAACAGTCATCTGGTTGTACTTTATCATTTAAAAAGATGAAGCCAGGTACCAGTAGCTCATATCTATAATCTTAGCTACTCAGGAAGCTGAGACCTGACCTGAAGGATTGTTGTTCAAAGCCAGCCTGGGAAGAAATATCCAAGATCCTTTTCAATTAACCTGAAAAATAAGTTAGGATAGAGATGTAGCTCAAGTGTTACAACAACATCCATAATCAAGAAAGGCGAGGAAAGCTTGAGGCCCTGAGTTCAAGCCCAACTACTGGCAAAAAATATAATACAGTACAGTAAAGTACAGTACAGATGATAAAAATGTATTGAACACATGGCTCTTAAATTTTTTGACTCTGTTTTTGGTAAGATTAACATAGTTAAAACTAAAGTCCACTGGTGTTTTCCAAGTATGTTTCCTAGTGAATCTTGAAGTTCATATTCAGACTCCTTTTCCAGAGCAGCTACTCTTGCTTTGTTTTTTTTTTTCCCAACTCCTTTCCCTCTGAGCTCTGTTAGATCTTCTTCCTCAGCATCCAAGTAGTACTGTGATTATTGTATTGTATTTTAATAATCTTTGTGTTTTAATTCACCTGCTAGCCAGAAGCTTGAGACTAGTTTTATAGTGTTAACAATGTCCCAGAGGCAGAAACAACTCTGCCTGTGAGCAGATAAATGAATGGGTAAACAGAATATGAGACAGACAGACAGATAGATACATAGCGATAGGCAAACAGACAGACAAGCTATTCTGGCTATAAAAGAAAATCTTGCCTGCCACTGGTGGCTCACACCTATAATCCCAGCTTCTCAGTAGGCTGAGATCTGAGGACCGCAGTTGGAAGCCAGCCTGGGCAGGAAAGTCCATGAGACTCTTATCCCAACCACCAGAAAACCGGAAGTGTTGCTTTGGCTCAAAGTGATAGAACACTTGCCTTGATCTTAAGAGCTCAGGAACAGTGCCCACACATTGACCCCACCCCAATTTTTTTTTTGATATATGGTAAGTAGATAAACCTTGACACAAAAGACTATTACTATATGTTAATAATGGATGTAGTGTACAGGTATCAGTTCAAGTTCCTACTTAAGGTTCTTTAGGGTATATATGTAAAAGTAGAATTGTTGGGTCATATAGTAGTTCTTTGTTTAATTTTTTGAGGAACTGCTATACCATTGTCTGCAGTCATTGCACCATTTTATATTATCACCAGTAATGCACAAGGATTCAGATTTTCATGTTTTTGCTGACACATGTTTTCTTTTTTAAATAATAGGGGTATGAAATAGTATCTCATCATACTGATTTTGATTTGCAATTTCTTAATGATTATTGATGTTGAACTTCTTTTCATGTGCTTCTTAGCCATTTGAACATCTTCTTTGGAGAATTGTGTATTCAAGATTATTTTAAAAATGGGGTTGTTATTGTTCAATTGTTTTGTATTGTTCAATTTTTATGCTAGCCTGGGTCTTGAACTCAGGGCCTAGACACCACTCCTGAGCTCTTTTACTCAACTAGTGCTCCACTTTGATGGTTAACTGGAAATAAGAGACTCACATACTTTCTTGCCTGGGCTGGCTTTGAACCATGATCCTCAGATCTCAGCCTTCTGAGTGGTCACTGGCTCCCAGTCCAGGAAATCTGTATATAATTTTGAAAGAGCTGGAACCCAGTTGTCCAGTGCTTGCCTATCATGCATAATGCCCTGGGTTCACTCCTAGCTCTACAAAAATAAATAAGTAAAGGAGCAATGTTAACTCTGAAAAAGCTTAAAAATAATTTAGATATTGATCCTTCATTAGATTTATGATTTGTAAATTGTTCTCTCATTAAGTGAGGTACTTTTCTTCACTCTGTTGTAGTGCCTTTCAGTATTTATCTTTTTTCTTTATTTTTTGTGCCTTTTATTTCATTTGTGTTTTTGATACCATATCTATGTTACTTCTTTCCGTTGTGGTACCTGTTGGGTTTCATTTCAGTATTATGCTGCTCTTACAAAATGAATTTAAAGCTTTCCATCTTTTCTCTGTGCTCTTGAAACCTTTTAATGCTATAGAATTTTTCCAGTATTCTAAAATTGAGCTAGTATAATGTGCTTCTGATATTTAATATTTATGGTTAAATTTTTGGATGTATAAAAGGATGATGGCAAAGCTAAAGTCATAAAACTGCCAATGGGAAACACAGTTAGAAGATGCTAATGGATGTGTGCAGCTCTCCAAATTGCTGCCAATATACTGTAGTATATATACAACATATCTTATCTCTTACCTATATCCAAAAGCTTGAGCTTCCTGGAGCAGGGCGTATTTCAGTAGTGTGGTTGGTTTTTTAAGGACATTATTCTGAGAAAACCCAATAGAGAAGGTAAGGATTCTCTGACTAAAGGTCTTTGTAGAATACATCCATTCCAAAGCAAGAAACACAATTGTTCACATTATAATTATTTATTTTATATGGTTACGAATAAGGAGAAATGTTTTAGGCTAATTTTTAAATGTGGATTGTTATCCTCCCACTCAACTTTTTCTTTTCTGTGTCTTCAACAAAAGTGTGTTTTGAGTACTTGTAACATTAATAATGTTGGAAAAACAGTAACTCTTTGTATTGTGGTGATAATTCTACAGGTTGTGTTAGACTAAATGTGGTTGTTCTTGATTTAGGAGCTGAAGTTGCCCTCCTACAAAGGCCAGTCCCCTCAGCTAAGTCTCAGGAGGTACTTTGCTGACTTGATTGCCATAGTGAGCAATCGCTTCACACTCTGCCCTTCTGCCCGACATCTTGCTGTCTATCTGCTGGACCTATTTATGGATCGCTATGACATCTCTATCCAGCAGCTACATTTAGTTGCACTATCCTGTCTTCTCCTAGCAAGTAAGTATTAATTTGATCTATAAGACTAGAATCTCTATTGTTTATATGATAAAATAAAGTTATGTAGAACTTTGAATTTTCAATTACCAAATCTCATTCATTCCAGTTTATCCCTATCAAGAAGTTTATGTTGAAAATACATCTTGGCACAGTAATTATCAATTAGGCATTTAAGAATAGTTCTGGAACTGGGTGTTCATACCTTATTCCTAGCTAGTGAGGAGACTGAGATCTGAGGATCATGGTTCAAAGTCAACCCAAGCAGGAAAGTCTGTGGGACCTTTTTCTCTAATAAACTACCAAAAAAGCTGCAAGTGGAACTGTGGCTTAAATGGTAGAGAGCTAGCCTTGAACAAAGGAAGCTCAGAGATAGAAACCAGGCCTAGAGCTCAAGTCCCAGGACTGGCACACACACAAAAATAAAAAGTTCTCAAGTAATTTAAAGACGTGTACCCAAATCCTACATTCTGAAGATTCTGATAGTAATATGAATTCTAGGCTGCTACAGATCTACTGAGTCAGATTCTACATAATAGAACCTGGCTGTTTATTAATGTTTTTAAATTTCCAAAGGTGATTTCTATATACCTTTTCAGTTGAGAACCACTCTTTCAAATCAGCAGTTCACAACTGAGAACAATTTTGTCCCACAGGGCATACTTCATCAGTAAGAGGAGACACTTTTGTTGGGGGTGGGGTGTGGAGTTGCTGTTAGACACCCTGTGGTGAAAAGGACAGGTCCCTGGAACAAACAATTCCCTGGCTCAAAACATCCTTGGAGATAAAATTGAGAAACTCTTGGCTTAAAGGTGCCATACTCTGGCTGGGAAGGTGGCTCAGTGGTAGAGTGCTTGTCTTGCATGCATGAGGCCCTGGGTTCGATTCCTTAGCACCACAGAAGCAGAAAAAGCCGTAAGTGGTGCTGTGGCTCAAGTGGTAGAGCGCTAGCCTTGAGCTGAAGAGTTGAGGGACAGCACCCAGGCCCAGAGTTCAGGCCCCACGAGCGACAAAAAAAAAAAAAAGAAAGAAAGAAAAGGAAAAAAAAATGCCACACTCTTATTTTGTTAGAATACTTTATAGTTCCACAAAATAAATTAGCTTAATTTGTTGAAAGTTCATGAGCAACTTTTGCAAATGGGAAAGCCTTTTCTTGTGCTGCAAGATAGAATCTAACAAAGCCAGGTGCTAGTGCTCAGGCTTGTAATCCTAACTACTCAGGAGGCTGAGATCTGATAGTGAACCACTATCTAAAAGATAGTGGTTCAAAGCCAGCATGGCCAGCAAAGTCTAAGATTTACTTCTAATAATAACCTGACTTGATGTCAAGTGTGGAACGTGCTACTAGACCTTTTGGTGTCTCTTTCTCTTAATATTCTGTGGATCATTTCATTGCTTGCTAATGCCCATGCCCACACTGAAGAGGTGGGGTCAAGTAAGTAATTGAAATGGAAGTTTTCTTTTGGCAATGTGAAAAGATTATATTCAGTATTGAAACTGAATGGATAAAGTTGCTTCTAAATCTAAATACAGTCATACATGGTATAATTTCTGATATTAATCGCTACTTTTTCTTTTTCTTTTTTGTCAGTCTTGGGGTTTTGAACTCTGGGCCTGGGCGCTGCCCTCAGCTCTTCAGTTCAAGGCTCGCACTCTACCACTTGAGCCACAGCGCCATTTCCAGTTTTCTGGGTGATTAATTGGAGATAAGAGTCTCACAGACTTTCCTGTCCAGGCTGGCTTTGAACCTCGATCCTCAGATCTCAGCCTCTTGAGTAGCTAGGATTAAAGGTGTGAGCTACTGGCACTAGCACTAATCTTTTCTGACCCTTATTCTTCCTATGAATTAATGGCCTCAGCCACTAAATTTTGAATGTTCTTTTGTAAGTTAAGGTTTCTTTTATGTAGGACAGACTGAGTGTAAATAAAACACAACCACAGTGATGACTTGCCATTGTTGTATGTTTAGGTTTAGATGGAACCTGCTTATGTAGCATTTGGAACCTTTTATCTGGACCTAGCCACCATTCCAGTCTCATGTAAACCTTGAGCCAGATTCTTAGCAGAGAACTGTCTTTCCTAGCTACATTTCCCCTTTAGTCAGTTGTCCTCTAAGATCCAGACATCTCCTGTTTCCCTCCCCTTCCAGAAGACAGAGGTAATACTTAAATATTTATAATTAACCTTATTTAACTTTTAATTAAAGTTTCATGCTCCTAGGTAATCACATGTACAATGCTGTATGTATTTCATCACTGGCTGTGAAGCCATTTGGGGTTTAATTATTTGCTTAAGATTGGAAAAACCCATACTTGACAGGTGAGCTATATGAGAATCCACAAATAAAACTGCTTTAATCCACAGAATGTTGGTTAAATTAGTGAAAAGTCATTTTTGACCTGCTGTGGCTGTTACTGTCATTTTGAAGTCTCATTTGCTCAGCCTGCAGTTCTTAAAGTGTTGTGAGCCAAGTGGGAGGCTCATCTTGGTGGACTTAAAATGATGCTTATGTAGCTCATAGACTAACTTAAGTTACCGAATAAAACTTATCCATACAGAAGTGAGTTGGGGCTGGGAAGGTGGCTCAGTGGTAGAGCGCTTGCCTTGCATGCCAGAGGCCCTGGATTCGATTCCTCAGCACCACATAAACAAAAAGAAAAAAGCCAGAAGTGGCGCTGTGGCTCAAGTGGTAGAGTGCTAGCCTTGAGCTGAAGAGCTGAGGAACAGCACCCAGGCCCAGAGTTCAGGCCCCACGACCAGATCCAAAAAAAAAAAAAAGTGACTTGGGCTTACTAAACTGGTTACTCATCAATTACCTGTCATTCTTAAAATTCACGAGGACTGTCATAGTTAATAAGAATTTTGAGTTGAGCCAAGCATCTGTGGCTCATGCCTGTAATCCTAACTACTCAGGAGGCTGAGATCTGAGGATCAAGGTTCAAAGCCAGCCCTGGCAGGAAAGTCCTTGAGACTCTTATCTCCAATTAACCACCAGAAAACGAGACATGGTTATGTGGCCTAAAGCGCTAGAGCGCTAGCCTTAAGCTGACGAGCTCAAGGACAGCGCCTAGGCCCAGAGTTCAAGCCCCACGACTGACAACAAACAAAACAAAAAACAAAAACCAGAATTTTGAGTTGAGCATGGCACATGCCTACTGTGCCTCCTACTTGGAAGACTGAAACAGGTAGATTTCATTAGTTTAAAACCATCTAGGCAACATAATGAGACCTAGCTCAAAAAAGAAAAGCAAAAGAATCTTGCCCACTATGTAGTACTTGCCACAGGTGCTATGGAGTTTACACAGTCTACAGATCTAGAGGAAAGGTACTTTTGTTTTTGTGCTAACTTATGTTGGTTGAAATGGAGTTTTCACTTCTCGTGTTTAAATTACATGTTACATTTAAGGTCATGATACATTTGCTTTCTTAAGGATTATTGGCTTAAAGAAATTGTAATATTGTGATTGGTTTTATTTTAAGTTTTTTATCGTCTAGAAACTAGGCTTTAGAATCAGTATTTGCTGTGGTTCAAATGTGAATCCTTTTTCACCTATTGATGAAAGTGCTGGGTTTCTCCTCCCTTTCTGCTGACACACATGACCCCTTTTTCCTTTGAGAGAAAAATTCTGGTGTTTCAGACATGCACTTATTCTTTGGCCACACTGGGTTATTAAACTCAGGGCCTTTCGTTTGTTGGGCAGGAACTCTACCACTTCAGCCAACCTCTCCCAGCCCCTTTTGCTTTTTAGTTATTTTTCAGTTTAGGGTCTTGTGTTTTTTACTTAGGATAGCCTAGACTCTGTTACCCTTACGTAAGCTTCCTGTGTGAGTGCGATGACAGTGTGACCACCACATACAGCTTTCATTGAACTAGTGTCTCACTAACTTCCTTGGCTAGCCTCATATCATAATCTTCCAACATCTCTGCCTTCCATACAGCTGGCATTATAGTCATGAGTCACACTTCTGGCCTTTTAAAAAATTATTCTTGGCATAAATAAATTATACCAAAAGAGTGTCATTGTAATTTTTCCATAGCATTTGTTTACATTCCATCATCTTACATTTGGATACCTGTGGGGTGTCCCCAATTAGGTATCATAAACATTCAAATACTGCTCCTATATTTGCATAATTGAAAGTGGTTTGCTCCTCCCCTCAGTTTGGGGATGGTATCTTCTAGTATGATAATGAAGAAGAACTTCTAGCTGATAGGATCAGGTAATAGTTGGATTTCAGTTATATTAAAGGTTGGGAACTGTAGATAATGTTGGCCAGAAACTGACCACAGTCAGTAAGTTCCAGGGGTAAAACATAGCTTCTTGAAGTGTATATACTATTAGAGATAGGCAAACAGGACCTATACATTGTCTTTTTTTGGAGAGAAATGTGTAGTATTTTAGAGGAAGAATCATGATTGACTTCCTGGGTTTTTACCAACAATATGAATTTCAGCAGTACTGGAGTCTCACATTATTTCTCTGTAAAATGGGAACCAAAGCACTTGGCTTTATTTATGCTGCTTTATAATCTATAAACTTTAGTCTGGCTCCATATCCCAAAAGTTCTGGCTTATTCTAAAATGGACCCAATTTGTGCAGGACTATATGTTCTTTCTTCCCTTGGCTTCTGTGACTACCATTAAACTAACAGAAAATTTGCAGCAGTCTTGGAAATGAGACTTCTGATAGTATGTTCAAGGTCTTGTATAACCAAGAAATGACCTTGACATTAAGATGAAAGCAAATTTAAAAATCATAGGATTTTAGAGACACGATTCATTACAAATGCTTGTTTTTCCTTGTTTACCGATGCTGGGTTAGCACAATTTTATACTGTATTATCTGTTAGGTGAAAATATGACATTTTAGTTTTGATTTAGATTTTAATTTTTAATGAGCTGTTTTTTTCCTTTTCCTGTTCTTTACCCAATTAAAAAATTAGATTGATGATATTAGAAACTTGTGAGGATTCTCAGTATATATTTTCCACTTTAGTAATGAAAGAATAGAATGAACCAGGTGCTGGTGCCTCACGCCTGTAATTCTAGCTACTCAGGAGGCTGAGATCTGAAGGACTGTGGTTTGAAGCCAACTCAGGCAGGAAAGTCCATTAAACTCTTATCTCCAATAAAAGAAAAGGCCAGAAGTGGCATTGTGGTTCAAGTGGTAGAGAACTAGCTTTGAGTACAAAGAGTCTCAGAGACACTGCCCATGTCCCTAAGTTTAAGTCCCGGGAAAGGCGAAAAAAAAAAAAGAAAAGAAGAAGAGAATGTACAGTCAGGTCCTGGTGGCTCACACCTGTAATCCTAGCTCCTCAGGAGGCTAACTTCAGGAAGATTGCCTTTCAAAACAAGCCAGGGCAGAAAAGCTTTTAAGACCCTATCTTGCAAATAGCCAGTTAGAAATGGGGCTGGAGTTATGGTTCAAGAGAGAGCGCAGGCCTAGCAAACACAATACTGTGAGTTCAGACCCTAATAATGCCCTACCACCAACACCAAAATACACACACACACACAAAATGTGGATTGGTCAAGTTCATAATGGCATCAGGTCCATGTCCTGCAGACTGTGCAAATCTCTACCACAGACTTAGATTTGTTGCTGGCTTTGAAAATATACTGCTCTCCACGGCTGATCTTAATATATCCTGTTCAAGGAAAGACAACCTAGTGTTTTGTTTCTGTGGTCTCTTAATTCTTTATTTTCTGGGAAGCAGATATAAATTTCCTGTTCTCTTAGTTCCTGTTTGGGCCCTTTATCAATATAATCACATGGTTTTTGGTATTTCCTTTCAATTGAAGAACTGACTTTTTGATGTGCATAGTATTATGAATAAATAAATTTAAAATAACAATAAAAACTATATTCAGAGCAATTAAAAACTATAGACCTTAATGCAGGTACACATTGGTGTTATCACAGTTTTTGAAATCCTTTAATTATTCATGTAGCTGAATATATATCACTATAAGTAGTGAAAGTCCCAAAAAATTAAGCCTACATTAGAATTCTGATTATTATGCAGTGTGCAAGATACTTTTAACTTTGTAAACCCATTCATGTTTATATTAGCTGAATATTTATAGAGAAGGCTGTCATTGTGATAGTTGTCCCAATATAATCTTGTGCAGTACTTTGGTTTAGAAGTGCAAATTTGAGGATTCATAAATCTTCATTTGTGGTACTTTGGTTTAGAAGTGCAGATTTGAGGATTCATAAATCTCTTCATTTGCACTTTCATACTTTAACACAAGTGGTCAGTCTTACCACCTTAATTTCTTGATTGTAGACAATTTTATTTTTAATGTTTAAAGTTTCAGGAAGATAATATGAAACATCCCTGATCCTTGAATTATGGTGACTTAAAGTATATTAGTTTCTTCAAAGGAACTTCAAACATGATATAAGTAATGTCATTAATTTTTACAATATTCCTTTGAAGTGTATTGTCAGTTTTGCTGTGCTACACAAACATCAGGGTGCTTTGAAAGCCTTAATGATTCATCCCAAGGGACTGGACAATATTCCTAGTTCAGTCTTCCTCTGCAGAATTTCACTTTATTATGCAGAAACAATGGTTTCCCTTCCTGTCTCAGTGATGATGCTCTGTCTAACCACTTTAGTGACATGGGTGACATGTGTGCTCTTGGCTGAACATATGAAATTTATCTTTATGTGATTTGACTGGGAAGAGCTAGCTAGATTCTTGAAAACCTGAATATGTTTTAGATACAGTATTTACTTAAAGAGTGGTTTAGAGCTGGGTGTGGCCCATGCCTGTGCAAACCCAGCTACTCTCTGGGCCTGGGGCAGAAAAATCACACAGGTTCAGGCCAGCCTGGACAACTTAGACCTTGTGTCAAAATAAAATGAACTGGGGGTATTACCACAATACAGCATTTGTCTGGAATATGTCTTAGGCTTGATCTCCAGAAAACCCTCTCAAAACATGATTTAGCTAGTTTCATAATTTCTCTGGAGCAGTAGCCACCATCTCTACCATTCTTCTGGTGTCAGTGACAAAAACTTCTACCCCAGTTAGGGTCCTTGAGCAAAGACCAAGATTGCAGCAGCACTTTTTCACCAACCCCAGTTGAAGACAAGAGAAGCAAACCTCTTTGGCTACTGCCCCATTGCCCGTACCCTGACCATCTACACTGAGCAGCCTTGGTACCTTACCATTAACTTTGCCAGGCACCTTTGACACAGGCCTGGAATCCTAGCTACTTGGGAGGCTGAGCTTGTTGGGATATTGGCTTGAGGCCAGACCAGTACAGATAATAAGTTCAGGAGATTCCTTCTCAAAGAACTGGGTGTGGTAGTTAGTGGTTATTACCCTAGCTACTGGAAAGCCTATGATAGGTAGATCATATCCAGGCACATACCCTGGCAAGAAGTGAGACCCTATATCTGAAAATAAAAGGTAGAAATCAGAGCTGGATGGATTGTGAATATGGCTTAGTGGTAGAGTGCTTGCCTAGCATGCAGGAAGCCCTGGGTTCAATTCCTCAGCACCACATATACAGAAAAAGCCAGAAGTGGCACTGTAGCTCAAATCATAGAGTGCTACCCTTGAGCAAAAGAAAAAGAAGCTTGGGGACAGTGCCCAAGCCTAGAGTTCAAGCCCCAGTCCCAGAAAAAAGAAATCAGAGCGAGAGGCATGTCTCAGAGATAAGAGTTCCTTGCTTAGCAAGCATAAGACCTGAGTTCCTACCCCCCCCTCCAAAAAAATTTTAATTCTTAGGAAAATTTTGGACAAGGGTATATGTTATCTATTCATGAGAAATCTGTACTTCTAATGTGATTTTTAAATTTTAATTTAAGCATTGAGAGAAGTCATGCTTGTAACTTCTGTTCTTTCATGGAACAAAGACACAGACACACATGCACAAAGACTTGGCCAGCTTTATTGCTTTCTCTGGAATATCTGAACAATGCTTGATAGTTTGTGTATTTTCTTCAGCTAAAAGTTGTAGAAGTTACCTAATATAAATAAAAAAGTGTTTGCTTGGAAATTGATATTAATCTATAGAAACAGTTTTCTGTGGCTGGACAGGTAATCCTACTCCTCAGCTTTGCATAGATGAAACCTGTGAATGGGTATTCCCTGAAAAGAAGATAATGCCTTTGAATAATGACCATCCACCTTTCATGTACTCTTTATTCCTATCTGCCTTGTGAAAGAGGATTTCAAATAGGATAATAAAGTATTTCCTCCATTTATTACAAAGTAGACTTACCTGGGCTTTTGGCGGGTGGTGTGTGTGTGTCTGTGTGTGTGGATATTGGGGTTAGCTCCTGGGTTGTACTTTTGCTTGGCTTTTTTGCTTGAGGTTAGTGCTCTACTACTTGAGCCACAAGTATACTTCTGGCTTTTTGTTGGTTAATTGGAGCTAAGAATCTCATGGCTTTTTCTACCCAGACTGGCAATCCTTAGATCTCAGTCTCCTGAGTAGCTAGGTTATAGCTGTGAGCCACCAGTACTTGGCTTGGAATTTTCATTTTGAATTCAAGAAGAGAGACAGGACTTTTTGTGGAATGATACTTACGTTAGATAATCACTCAGCTTTTCCCCTAAGTTCTTTTATCTGTTACTGAGATTCTGCTAACCATATGCCAAAATAAAATACTTTGGGCTTACCTAATTTATTTCAGATAAAGCTATAACATTAAATTATTAAAACTCTCTCTTCTATTGTAAAATAATCAATTTTTTGTCACCAACAACCACCTGGCCCACAGAAAGAAAACTTTCTGGGAAGAATCAACTGGTGAGACTTGAGTTATTTTTTTAATTATCACATATGACTGATTATGTTTAAGACCTAAATCAAATGTCCCAAGCGTATGTTTTTCAAAGGCTGAGGAAAGGTGAGGGACATTGGTACTAGAGAAGAAAACAAGCAAATGTAGAGACAGAGCTCTATGGCACAGTCATCATGGAAGGTAGAAGAAAAAATGTCCCTTCATTTAAATCTGATCGGTTAGCCTGCAAATCCCATTTAACTGATCAGACCTCTAATGATCATCTTAACATTTTTCCTTTTCTTACAAGGTAAATTTGAAGAGAAAGAAGATAGCGTGCCTAAGTTGGAGCAGCTCAATAGCCTGGGTTGCATGACCAATATGAACCTGGTATTAACAAAGCAAAATTTGCTACATATGGAACTATTATTATTAGAAACCTTTCAGTGGAACCTCTGCCTTCCTACAGCTGCTCACTTCATTGAGTATTATCTCTCTGAAGCTGTACATGAAACAGATCTTCATGATGGCTGGCCAATGATCTGCTTGGAAAAAACTAAACTCTACATGGCCAAATATGCAGATTACTTCCTTGAAGTGTCCCTGCAAGGTGAGTTTTTGGGAATTCCACTTAAGTGACTTGTGCACTGTGAATCGTGTATTCTGTTGCTTAAGTTCATTTTTGGTGTCTCCACAGATTATGCCTTTCTAAATTATGCACCTTCTTTAGTAGCTGCTGCATGTGTGGCTTCTTCGAGGATTATACTTCGTCTTTCTCCAACATGGCCCACAAGACTACATCGCCTTACTGCTTACTCCTGGGATTTCTTAGTGCAGTGTATTGAACGGCTGTTGATGTAAGCCTTTCTTGCCCTGGTGTTTGTAATTCCTCATTAACATTTTTCTTCATGTATAAGGTGCCCTAAAAACAACTCCTCAAAGCCACCAAGCTCTTGGATATTTGGCTTCTGGTAGCTACTTGGTGCCATTAGTAAACCACTGTATGAGCAGTACTCTGTGGCAGGGGACCTTGTTTTGGCTGTTGACCAGTATAAAATGATTCTAGATACATGAAAGGAAAAAAGTCCTCTTGTAGGTTTCTAGTTAACTCTTTCCCCATTCCTGTTCCTGCATCTTGGATTTTTAGGGGCCATTAGGATATATCTGAAGTGACAGCCGCCACACTTACCATGACCACTGTGCTTATTGTGAACTCATCTCAAAAGCTGGAAGGAACCCCTAAAGCTGCCCACATAGTTCACACCATGGGAAATAGCTTTGGGAGGATTTGGGGAGGTCTCACTGTTGTGTGGCAGTGTGTGGAATCATCTTCTTGAGTAATGGTATTGTTTCATTTCTCTCCATGTCTCAGTGCTCATGATAATGATGTGAAAGAAGCAAACAAACAGAGAGCACAGTCAGGCCCTCAGTCAGCACAACTAGGCATGTTCCAGACAGCCTCCCAGCCCTCACGGCCAGTTCACTTTCAGCAACCCCAGTATCTCCACCAGACTCATCAGACCTCGCTGCAGTATCGCCATCCTGTGTCAGATCAACCAAGCTGTCAGCAGATTGTATCTACCACACACACCTCATCTTACACACTACAGACATGTCCTGCTGGCTTCCAAACTAGTGTTCAGAGCCTTGGGCACATGCAGACTGGTGTTGGGATGTCTCTAGCAATACCAGTAGAAGTTAAACCCTGTCTGAGTGTTTCTTACAACCGGAGTTACCAGATAAATGAACATTACCCTTGTATTACTCCGTGCTTTGAAAGGTGATTGTATGCAAGTAATAACTGACCCAAACAGGCCTTGCAGCTCTGGGGCAGGCTCTTGTAAACTTCTCTTCAGAAGGAAAGGGATCCAGATAACACCAGACAGAACTCTGCAGGTACCACAGCAGGAAGACTGAATATCCCTGCGTATCACAGCATCATGAGTATCCTGTTACAGCAAAACCCTGTGTAACAAAAATGTTCAAGCCCTAGCTGACGGTCCCAATATTTCAAAATATTCAATACAGCAGAAATTTTGGACAGACTGCAGATGGCCATTTTCAGATTTGACCTGTGGTAGGCTTGGACTCTTGCTTGGATTAGATGTCAAAGACTAGTGTTTATCTATGGACTTGCCAAACCGTTTTTCATGAAGGAAAGTTAACAGTATTACTTTTTGAAGACATTTTTAATTCAGTTTTGAGGGGTTTTTGGGGTTTTTTTTTACCTGACGTGAATTTCTAAGTTTAAATTCATCTGTGCTATACCAATCTGTGCAGTAAAAAATTGTGTCAGATTATGTAAGTTCCTGTCATAAATAATGTAGGTATCTGAATTTATTTACTAAAATTAGGTGTGGAATAGATCTCTTATCTTGAAATCTTGGTTATATTTGTGTTTTTCCCTAAGTGATCCAACTCACATCTATAACATGAAAACACATTTAACTCAGGGAGTTTGTACTACTTGGAAACATTTAACTGTAATGCATCATACTTTGGGATGTTAGAGTGTGAACTACCTTTATAACATGCTAAACTATTCCCCTAGGATGTGTTTTCCAATGAGATCATAATATTGTAGCCCAGAATGATTGGAATGTGGTTCTGTAATTCATGTATAGGTTTGAAGTTGTCAGTGCAATTGAGATTTATAGTCTGATTTGATGTTATTCCTAAAAGAGCTTTTTCAAGGGAAGGAATAGCTAAAATATGTCCATATTAGAATACAGTCCTGTAGGTTATTCTGGAATGGAGGGCAGCCAGGATTTACTCAGGTAGTGCTAGCCCAGCACTTGTTATGTGGAAGACAGGTTTGGTAAACAGCCTCCAGCTGGTTGGTCTGAGCAGACAGGGATACTGATTACAAGATTGTAATAGCCACTTTCACTTGGCCCTGCAACTGCCCTGGGACATTTCACTCTGCTGGTGGTGAGTGAAAGCAGCAATAATAGTCATTATAGTAAAGGCAATTTGGGCATAAAGTGTTTGAGAGAATAGACATTAAAAAGTTAAAAATGTAATAACTGGTAAATACATCCTTATCTGTGGGAGGAAACAGATTTGATAGAGGGAAGTTTCTCGTTTAAAAATTAGTGTGTCCATTTGTGTTCTTTTAAAGGTAGCACTTGAATAGAAGGGTCCGCATGGCAGATGTGTGACTACCACAATGTGCATTGAAGACAGACTTGTTACAGAGCTGTGGGTATGCAGCAGGTGATTCCATAATCAAGTCAGTGGCCTTTGTTAAGAAGGGTAGGGCTCAACATAGTAGTGGGGTGATCCAGAGGCTCCAGTGGATGAGTGTGAGGGAGTGGCTTCTGCCAACCTGAATTCTTAGAAGACATGCCTTATCCTTAAAAGGAAAACACTTATGTTTAGAGTATACAGGGCATAATGTGGATTTCATAGCCCAGCAAATGGCACAAAAGCCACTCAGGTAAGAACATTCATGGCAGTTTTTAAACATGAAAATTGTTTTCTGAAAGTATCACTTTTCCTCTTTAAAAGGGCTGCTAATTGGATTTTAATCATTCTTAACAAAACTTGAATTACATGGGGGAAAGTACGTTCAAAAGATAATATCAGCCAGGTGCCAGTGGTTCATGCTTGTAATCCGAGCTACTCAAGAGACTATTTGGAGGATCAAGGTTCAAAACCAGCATTCATGAGACTCCTATCTCCAGCAAAAAGCTGGGCCAGATGTACATCATAAGTTGGTAGAGTGCCAGCCAGAAGTAAGCAAGCTGAGCAAGAGAGCAAGGCCCTCATTTCAAGCTCCAGGACCAGCATGAAAAAGAAAAAAAAAGATAATGTTCATTTTCACGAATAGAAGCCAGCAACTTTGAATCCAGTTTTCAGTATTGTAACTACCTCAGTAATGCTATGAATGTAAGATAATTGGGATAAAGATCCTAACTTGAAACAACAACTAGTGCCTGTGGTAATTTAATGTCTTGTCAAATGCTTTTATTGATTGGTTTGTATGTCTCTTGTTATAGAAAAATATGCCTTTTTGAAAAGTTTATTAACACTTTTCCAGTTTATATTTTAAAAAGCTAAAGAACACTGGATTAATTTTTTGAGGGGGGGGCTTAGAATAAGATAATTGGTTAATTGATTACTATTGCTGCATACCCAGGGTAGGATGGCTTTTTTTAAAACATTAGGTTTCAATATAAATACAACTCAACAACTGTTAGATTGGGGGGGGATGTGTAGGGTTTGTTTTGTTTAATTTATTGATTAGTCCTTGAAGATTTTTTTTTTTAATTACTGGACCATCGGATGTGTACTGTGAAGAGATTAATGGTATGTATAAAGGGCTTTACCAAAGTCCGCTAAATAGACACTACTCAAGTACAGACTGTAAACCAAAATGTATCAGTGTATGACATAAATTACAAATAGTAAGTATGGTGCTAAAGTCTACACCAATGGAACTAGATGAGTGCTATGCACTTAATTTTAAAATAAACTAGTTTTCACTAAATTGGCCTTGGTGGTTTTGTTTTAAATGTAGTTTGTACTTTGTAGCTCCATCAAGTCATGTTATTGTATTAGACATGATTATATTTACTCAGGCATCCAGCTATTGAATATAGCCACAGGGGTGGGACACAGTTGCCCCTTTATGTCCAAGCATGGAAGCCCACAGACTACAATGGACACCACTTTTGCCTTTTGAGCTTAAATTGACTCTTACGTTAACAACTGCAGCCTTGATTTATTATACAATGATGGAAGCTTGAATAAGCATATAATCTTTTTCTTTTGCCAGTCCGGAGGCTTGAACTCGGCCTGGGCACTGTCCCTGGGCTGTGTTTTTGCTCAAGGCTAGCATTCTACCACTTGAGGCACAGTGCCACTTACAGCTTTTTCTGTTTATGTGTACTGAGGACAAACCCAGGGCTTCATGCATGCTAAGCAAGCACTCACCAGTAAACTCATTCCCAGCCAAGCATGTAATCTTATACCTACAAAAGATAGGGACACAAATGGCCAAAGCATTGAGAGAACTGGGTTAGCAGTCTGTTCGCCTAAATTATTATTTACCACTTAATTCAATTCAAACCTTCCAGATGGGATTTTGTTTGAAACATAAACCAATTCATTTGTACATGTAAGTTATTTCTTGCTCTGGCACTGTGAAAGGTTTAACAATAACCAACCCTTTATATACAATGTTCTTAAGGGCTGAATTTAAGAAAGCAACAAGCATTCTACATCAGGGCAAGCCGTGATTTGATTTTGAATCCCAAGTAGCAAATTGGAAACAACTGTTTCTTTGTGCATAAAGCAGCCATCTTCATTTTTAAGCAGCTTGCATGTGTAGCTTGATAGATAGGACTAACACACTAGACGCTATTTGAATAGCTTAATCCAGAACTCTTTCTTACCATTTTAGTTTAGGACTTGCTTAAGGTCCATCCTTAAGTACCTGAGGCTTAAAGGGGAAAAAAAAAAAGTTGACAACAAGCTCAGGCTTTGGAAAAGTTTATCTAAGTTTATAAAATTATTAAGGTTTGGTGGTATTGGAGAAAATGCATCTCATGACTTCTCTGAGAAAATGGGAGGTCAAATACTCTGCCAAGAATAAAGGTTTAGGGGCCTGAAGGTAAAGGCCAAGGTGAACAGAAGAGTTCCTGAAGTCCTGTGTGGTTAGTCTGTGCCATAGTGCTAGCTGTGTGGTAACTTTGTCAGTTGTGGGGCTTGAACTCAGGGCCTGGGTACTGTCCCTGAGCTCTTTTGCTCAAAGTTAGAGCCTTTTTTTTTTCTGCTTATGTGGTGCTGAGGAATCGAACCCAGGGCCTCAGGCATGCAAGGCAAGCGCTCTACTAATGAGCCACCTTCCCAGCCCCAGTTAGAGCTTTTTGAATGGTTAGTTGGAGATAAGAGTCCCACAAACTTTCCTACCTGTGCTGGCTTTGAATCATGATCCTCATCTCTCAGCCTCCTAAGTAGCTAGTATTACAGGTGAGGGCCACTGGCACCCAGTATAGTTACATTTTACATTTGTTCACTTCCAAATTTTTACCTATTTGCAAAATTTCAAAATATTTTTCAGCGGGGCTGAGAAGGTGGCTCAGTGGTAGAGCGCTTGCCTTGCATGCTCGAGGCCCCGGGTTCGATTCCTCAGCACCACATAAGAAAAAAAGCCGGAAGTGGTGCTGTGGCTCAAGTGGTAGAGCGCTAGCCTTGAGCTGAAGAGCTGAGGGAAAGCGCCCAGGCCCAGAGTTCAGGCCCCACGACCGGACCCAAAAAAAAAAAATTTTTTTTTCAGCTACAGTTTTTCTAAAACTTCTAACAAATCATTCATGCTGTTTCTATATGTATCTCCACAATGCTCACAAAAACTTAGTAAGTCATCTATGTATATATATTTTTTAATTTTTTTGCCGTTATGGGGCCTGAACTTGGCCTGGGCGCTGTCCCTCAGCTCTTCAGCTCAAGGCTAGCTCTCTACCACTTGAGCCACAGCACCACTTGCTGCTTTTTCTACTTATGTGGTGCTGAGGAATCAAACCCAGGGCCTCATGCATGCAAGGCAAGCACTCTACCACTGAGCTACCTTCCCAGCCCTCATCAATATTTTTAAACTTAAAAAAATGAATATATATGAAACTTACTTTGGGCAATTTAAAAATAAAACCAGAGGCCTGATTGTGTGGCTCAAGTGCTAACCATGAGTGAAAAGGCTTACCAAGTACCTGAGTTCAAGACTCAACCAGAGCATGTCCCCATATACACAAACACAATAAAGCCAGTTACTGGTGGCTCCTTCTTGTAACCCTCAATATTCAGAATACTAAAGTTCTAGAGCATTAAGATTTGAAACCAGTCTAAGCACAAAAAAAAAAAAAAAGCCACGAGACTTATCTCCAAAATAACTAGTAAATAGTAGAGTTAGGAACATGACAAGTAGTAAGAGTGCCAGTGGAGCAAGCATGAGCTGAGTTCAAATACTGGTTCGGAGGAAAAACAAAACAGCTGGGTACAATGGTACACATCTGCAATTCTAGCACTGGAGGCTGAGACAGGAGGGTGGAAAATGTGAGGTTCACCCAGGCTACATAGTTGTATATTGTTTCAAAAATAAAGGCCACAGGTTGAGAGTATGGTTCAAGTAGTTGAACACTTGCCTAGCAAGAATTTAAAGTTCAATATTGCCAAAAACAAAATAAATAGGCTAGGCATGATGGTTGATGCCAGTAATACCAGCTACTTGGAAAGCTGAAAGGGATCATGGTTTAAAGATAGCCCAGGCAAAAGTGAGACCCTATCTTAACAAACAAAAGCTAGGTGTAGTAATGTGTATCTGTGATCCCAGTTACAAGGGAGGCCACAGATAGAGTTGCAGTTTGAGGCTGGCCCACGCAAAAATTGTGAACCTGTATGAAAAATAAAAACTAGCTGGGCACTGGTGGCTCATGCCTGTAATCCTAGCTAATCAGGAAACTAAGATCTGAGCATCACAGTTCAAAGCCGGCTTGGGCACGAAAGTCCTGAGACTCTTATTTCCAATAAACCACTCAGAAAACCGGAAGTGGCACTGTGGCTCCAGTGGTAGAGCCCTTGCCATGAGCTGAGGAGCTGAGGGTCAGTGCCCAGGCCCAGAGTTCAGTCCCCACGACCAATAAAGAACTGAATGTGTGGTTCAACTGGCAGAGCAGTTGCCTAGCAAGCACAATGCCCTGAGTTCAAACCTCAGTACCACCAAACAATAAATAAAAATATCCCGGCGCAGGTGGCTCACACTTGTCATTCTAGCAGTCCTGGAGGTGAGATCTGAGGGATCGTGGTTCAAAGCCACCCCAGGGAAGAAAGTCCATGAGACTCATCCCCAGTTAACCACCCTCTCCCCAAAAAAAGCCAGAAATGGAGTGTGGTTCAAGTGGTAAAGTGCTATTCTTGAGCACAAAAAGCTCAAAGGCAATGCTGAGGTCCTGAGTTCAAGCCCTATGACCGGCACACATCCACACCATATACACATACAAAATAATAAATCAGTTATGATTTTTGTTTAAAAGTCTATGCCAGCATTTCAATTTTAAAATACTTGTTCAAGGAACAAAAGACATTACACACTTGATAGTATTCGAATTGAAAGGAACATATTGTATGCGTTGTAATAATGCAATTCTCAATGAAAAAAAAAAAGGTAGCAAGAACTGAGGGTATAATTCAAGGGCTAGAGTACCTGCCTAGGAAGGTAAGACTCTTAAGTTCAAACCCTAATGCCACCAAGAAAAATGGTATCAAAACATATATTTTATTACAAATTCAGTCAAACATAACTTTTGGAAAACATTCCTAATAGGAAATACTGACTTAATTCATTTAGTAGATATTTATTGAGCACTTAGTACATGTTAAGTACTGGGAATTCACATATGGAAAAGAAATAGTTCCTACTTTTCCACTACCAGGAAGCTTCTGTCTTGAAATATATATATCTGTAATACAGCAATAAAATGTAATATAGAATTAGGGTTGACAATGGGCACATCAGTTTACATTTTGACATCTCTGAAGTCATTGACATTTTACAAAGTGATCAAATCAGGCAGCCACTGAGATGGAGTTGTCACTGACAGTGAGGCCGCAAAACTTGCAGGAGCGCGAGAAGCTTGA